GGAGTGCGATATTTTGACGAGTTTTCACTATTTTTTATTTTGTTGTTTTAATATTCATAATATTTTTTTTTTATAAAAGTATTTACCTAACCAAAACAATATAAATGCGCATTTCAAATTTTTTGCAAAAATTATAAAAATTTTAACCAAAAATTTAAACTTTATTCAGATATTTTTTTTTAAATATTAGGTATGCTGAATAAATTACAAGTTTAAAGATGCTTAAAAACGCGCTGATTATTGGTAGTTTTTTGTTGACGACTCCAGGCATTTTCTTCCATATAAAAAAAATTGGTCAGCATACATACTTTAAATAGAAGAAAATGCGCTATATCGAAAACAGAAAAAAATTGCGAAAAATCAACGGCATTTTGTAGCCACTTGAAACTTGCACTAAATCATACTAAAATTTAATAAGCTTTAAAACTACATACATAATAATAAAGAATAAATTATGGTGACATTTTGTTGAATTCTTGGTATTTTTGCACTATGCTTGAAATTTGGATTCATATAGTTTTTGTTATATAATGAGCTACATTTTCATAAAAAAATAATAAACATTAAATAAAAATAATCAATAAATGTCCATCATACGCACTGTCATCCTCAAGTACACATATGCACATACATACATATGTATACACCTACATATACAAGTACATGTGTACAAATGCAAGTGTATAATTTTTTCGAAGCTTTTATGAAAATAAATCATTAATAGGAAGAAAATGTTCAGCTTCAGCATTTTCGCGAGCAATTAAGCATTTTCTTTTACTTCCACAACTCGCATCCTACACAGTGTACATTGTAGAACATTCATACGACAATTCTAACGAAATTCAATTTGTAAAACCTAATTGCGTCAGAAAGTCTGTCTGGACACTTAAAATAAAAGCATTATGTGCTAAAATATTATACTCTTTTGCCAAACAATTTTTTTTTTTAAATATCTATCTATCAGTAAAAAACTCTTTATAACTATCCTTAAGTTCTAATTCAATAGCATTTCATATATTGTTTGTTCAATATTTCCATTGCTCTCATTGCTTTCAAATTTTAATTTGCATTTCTCGTTGACGTACAAATTTATGCAGACACACTTCTGCTAATACTTTTCGAGTAGGTACATAGAGAAAAAATTAGCAAATACAAATATCGATTATTGGCACAGACATAAAGGTGTAGGTGTATGTAAATATATATAGACGTACATATGTATGTATGTACGTATTTAAATATGAGTGCATGTATGGAACAAATGCGTGCCATTAGTCGCTGTCTGCACCCTCATCATTTGACAGCCACGCGCTTGAACTTGAAAATAAAAATAGCATTGTGAATTCATCAATGTGTCCAAGGAGCTGTGTTCACGTAAGTACGAACATATCTTTGCATACATCTAAGCACATGTCTTACATTTATGCAAATATTTTTTTATAAACACATATTAGAAAAAATCCAATGTAAAATGTCCAGCTTTAGGCCTCGATTGAGAGAAAGGATTCAAGAGGCAGAGTTTGGGATATTTTGTAAGAATTTTACGGCTATATGTACAAAACGTACAATTTTTATTTTTTAGAAAATGTCCTCAAATGCCTAACCTGTTAGCATTAAATTCATCAAAATCAATTCTTAGGCAGCTTTAAATGGCTACCACAATCAGAGATTCCTTTTCACACTTGCTACATTGGCTGCTCTAGCTACAGAGATTGAAAAGTTTCCTACTGCGGAACGGCTACACAGGTCTATAATCAAAATAATAATGAAAAATAATTTAGCTATATTCTCATTATTATCAGCTAAGCTTGTTTAGAAAGTCATAATTAGTATGAAGGATGCTCATAAATTTAAGATTATTGAAGCCAAGTGGCTTGGTCAGAGTTTGAATATAAAAACTTTCGTTGTAAAATAATGCAATAAAAGGGCAACACTAACGGACAAGTGTATTTCACAATGTGGTCATTTATTATCAAGGCTGTCTCACACGCATACACGCGCTGTCGCTAAACAAGCCCAACAAAAACAAAAAAATTAAACAGCACACGCGCAGCCAATAATGTTCGCGAAAAAAATAGCTGGGGATGCGTCGCAACCGTCATAGCCTTCTTCGAGAATTATTTAGCAACAGCTGAGAGGCGCATAACGACGATAAAAATAATTACCACAAAGATACATACAAATTAACTTGCAGAGACATTTAAGGAATTCTATTCGTTAAGCGTTGAATGTTCGCTAATTGTCCACATATGGAAAAATAATGAATGAATTAAGCAACACTTAATGGAATCTACAACGTCGGAAAATAATTCAATAAATAAGAATTAGACAGTCTTACATACATATGTATGTATGTATGTATTGTGAATAATTAGCCTTGGCTTGCTTTTGAAGTAAAAGTAACCTTTACAAGGACAACGGAAAGCCCCGTGTTGCCTGAGTATCAACAAAAAGGTGGGGACTTGGAAGCGCATGCTACATTTCGGCAATAATAAAAGATAATTAGATAGAGGAATACCTTGTTAACCTTTTGAAGTGAATAAATACTAAACGATTCCATTTATTTCTACACAAAAGAAAAAAAGTATTTCTCTCTAATATAGAGTTTGTTAACTTATAAATTATATTTATTAAATACTAACCAAATTTGCGCGAGATTTGACAAACATTTCATAAGTGCTAAAGCGAAAATGAGGCGAACATATGAAAGCCACTAATGCCACAAGCCTACATAAAACAGCATATAGGAGAAACTTTCATGTCTCATAACTACACACTGTACAAATGTATGTACACATACATATGTACATAAACTGGATGACTCAATGACAGGTTGTTTGATTGAAATTCAGGTTTACTTTTCTAGAAAGAAATGAAATCTTTGATGACTCATTTACATACATACATATGTATGCGTGTATAATTTATGATAAGCCAACGCAAAGTATTATGAAATAAAATTACATTTAGATGATTTTGTTAAACGCGTAATACTATGCTCACGTTGAAAAATTAACTCGAGTTTAACGTTTGGAGTTTATGACCAACTGTCAAGTGTTCTGATTAATTTGACATTTGTTTGTTTGGATTTAGACAGAAATAGTCCGAAGTAGCCATGGTGTAGAATACCAACTGTCTAGCCATAAATAAATCAAAAATGTAGCTAAAAAAACTTTTCATCTGATTTCAACCATACCAAGATTATTTGGCGCAAATAAAAACTAACGCCAATAAAATAGGCGTGAACATAGTATATGTAAAGCTGGAAAGCTGGAAACTCTGAAAGTATTTTTTTGTAGAAATTTCAACACCTCAGATTTTCTACGTTACGTTTTGATTTTAAGAGTATACCCCTGAATTTCAAACACATCTTATGCCCTAAGAAATAATAACGACTGAAGGGGTCAATTTAGAGCAGGGTTGGGCACGCTGCACTAAATCGAGATTTTCACTACCACTAGGGCTACAGTGGTAGTGCATTTTAAATTTCACTACCACTATATGATTTCCCTACCTCTGTTTGGATAGTGGTAGTGCAGTCCAAATTTCACTACCACTATATTTCAAATTTCACTACCTCTATATGGTTAGTGGTAGTGAAAAATTGTTTTTACTACCACTATGCACTTAGTAGGTAATGCATTTCCCATTTCACTACCACTACACGAATAGTGGTAATGAAATGCTCAGTGCATTGAAAATTTAGTGCAACATGCCCAACCCTGATTTAGAGGCCAATGATAAAAACGCTATTATTCTGGGGTTTGAGAAATCGCATGCCAAAGACACGTTTTTGCTTATAACTTCTTTCATAAGGAAACAATTTTAACTATTATGATCAGATTATCTTCGGAAAAGATGGCGAATACTATATTTTATACAACTTTTCATTACTCATCGATTGTTTTTTCGTAGAAATGAGCAGTGAAATGTGTTGCTTGTTTCTTACATATAACTAGTAATTTTTAGCAAAAAAAAAAACCGACTTCAACTCCCATATAAAAAAAATATATATATATATATCTCATGATCCGCTGATCGGATCTTAACCAGATTAGTATGGGACCACCTCTGAGACACTACCTTTCCGATGCAAAAAGAATTATCGAAATCGGTTGACGTGGTCCAAAGTTATGCGGTAACATACATAAAAAGAAAAAAAAATATTCCGACGAACTGATAACCTTCTCCTTTTTTGGAAGTCGGTTAAAAATAAATTGTGTTTATTCGTTATATGTAAGCAAATGCGACAAAAAAAATTCTAAAAAATCAACGGTCATTTTTGGCCTATTGAAACTTGCACATTGTTAGACTAAAATTGAATGGGCTATAAAACTGCGTACTCAAAAAAATTCTAACACTTCTAAAAGTGTGAAGTGAAAATTTGTTGCATCTTTTTGTAGTCTTTTAAAAAGTTTAAAACTTGGCTTTATATGGATTTTTTTAGAGAATGAACTGTATTTTAAATGAAAATTCCTAAAAATAAACAATTAAACATAAGTAGCAAACAATATCACTTTTATAGGGGGGTGCTATAGATATGGCCAATACTGTAACTGTAAGTTTCCTTCGGCTTGTAATTATACACTTCGAAAATCGTCTTTCCGAAATTTGATACTTTCCAAATCGATGGCCCTGCCCTGGGCCACTTCATCTCAACTGGTCGACAGCTACTCGTATACAAAAACAAAAAGAAAAAACCAGAGACAGTAAATAAGTTATTTTTAGATTTTGAAACAAATTCTGTTGTAGAATTGGGTTTCTACGTGACTTAAGAGCACTTGACTTTTGTAATTTTTGAGCGAGAAATTCCGAGTATATTGGGGATTTTTTGGTATTTTATGAGACTTTTCGTGATTCTTCGAGTTTTTTTTGCGGAGACTATTTCAGAACCTTTTGCGATTCTTCTTAATTTTATTTTCGGCATTTTTTCGGGACGATATTTTTTTGTCAAATTATACTTCTAATGCAACTATTTTTGTGTTTGTTTGTTTACTCACCAAAGTTGTGTCTGAGGTATGGCCTAGTAAACTGCTTACTATTTCCTACTTTACCGCCTTTCAGTTATCCTTCTTCTTTCACTTCCTGTCGTGCTGATTACGGCAAATAATAGAAATTATTATTGCCGTACTTCAACACTTCTGCTGTATTCGTTTTTCACGCCTTCGCTTTCGATCCGTCGACGGTTGCTGTCAAGACCTTCAAAGACCTTTCCACCTCAAAAAACGGTGACTGCTTTTTTGTTAGGCATTTTTAATGGATAAACTTTTTGGCTTATCTGCAAAAGGTAAAAAAATAAATAAAAAAATTAAGTGAAAAATGTGGGAAATTACAACTGAATAGCTGTTAAAATGTACATATATTCAATTAATAGTACTATTATAAAAGTGTAAGTTTGTGAGTGAGTGAGTGTGTGAAAATGTTTGTGAAATTTCGCGCACAGATTAAAATATAGGATATTTTTTGAAGAGAGTTGCCATCTTTTCAAAAGTTACAGTCAATTAATTAATAAGTTAAATAAAATATTATACATAACAGTGTGGGGTTAAAAGAAAACGGTTCAAAAATGGTTTTTAAGAGGGTTGCCACCTTTTTAAAAAGTTAAAATATATTTAATTAACAAGTTAAAGAGAATATTTTAATATGAGTATCAAACGCGTGAGGTATTTTCAAAAATATTTTAAAAGGGGTTGCCACCTGTTTAGAAACTCAAAATCAATTTAATTGGCAAATTAACATAAATATTTAAATATAAAGAGGTTTTAAGAAACCTATATTTATTTCGGAAATATTGTGACAAGCGTTGCCACCAACTTAGGAATTTAATTGACAAGTTTATTGAAATCCAACTATATAATACTATAAATGTGAACATTTGTGAGTGTGTGAATGCATTTTCAAGAGGATTGCCATCTATTTAAAAATTTAAATTAAATTTTAGTAAGTTAAATGAAGCTTTACAATATAGGTGGCAAACGAGTGAGGCTTAAGAAAACTTCTTTTTTTTTAAGGCAAATATAATTTTTTTATTAGTTAAATAAAGTACTATCATATGGAGGTCAATCGAAAGAGGTATGTATGAGAAAGTTTTGCTTCGAAAATATGTGTAAAGAGGGCTGCCACCTGTTTAAAATAATTTAAATTAAATCAATAAGTTATATGAAAAATTACAAAATGATGTCGGTTCAAAAAAAAAAATTAAAGGAAGGATTTATTTCGAAAATATTTATATGAGTTTGCCACCTTTTTAATTTCAAATTAAATGTAATCAGTTATTTTAATGAAACACTGCAATATTGATGTCAAACGAAACATGTTGAAAAAATCTTTGTTTCGAAAATATTTTGAAGAGGGTTGCCACCTATTTAAACGTAAGATTCCATTTACTGAAACATTACAATATGTATGTCAAACCAAAGATGTTTAAGAAAGCTTTATAATGAAAATACTTTTGAAGAAAGTGCCATCTGCTTAATAAATCAAATTCAAAGTAAATGAGATATAACAACGAAATATGGATATGAAGCAAAAAGTGTTGGTACATGGTATTATTCAGACACATTTTTTACAAGAATTGGCAACTTTCGAAGCTTTGAGAGAGCCATAACTAAATAAATCTTATTTCAGACAGGAATTTTTTATTTGACGAAAGCTAGCCCGCAATAAAACATTTCATTTTTTAATTCATTTCATTTTATAATCTCTCATTTCGATTCCGCCGTTGTTGAAGTTTGTCATGCAATTGTGCAAAATAACTGCTCAATCAAAAAAAAAAAAAAAAAAATCCGTTGCCACGACAAATATTTATTGTAAGTAATGTCAGCAATAAAGCTAAAATGGAAAATAATAACAAATACAAGTAAAACTCACAGCACACGCTAATACTGAATGTGGCTGCATCATCTTTGGAGCTGGCAGATATAGCGACAATAAAGCGAGGTCATTGAATTGAGGTCGATTTATTTTATTTCATATAAAATATTAGAAAGGAATGAGAGCTGAAAAGAGCCGCAAGGCGCAGAGCAAAATGAAAGGAAGCAAAGCAATCGATTTGAAAACAAAAAATGCTTTGAGCAATTGTATTTCAGTATTTTATTGCATTGCACTTTAGTCCTCTTTTCTGATTGACGTTGGCGATTGTGATAAAAGCCAGGAAGGAAGGCATGCATTTTGAGGTCAACAACAAAAGCGCGCAGAATAAAAAACTGAGTTTAATTTCGATGAACGGCAAATTTGCTGAGTTGCAGAGGTGGCTAACACGTTGATTATACGACAAACCGCTAACTGCATTTACTCGTAAGCGTTTGCAATGTATGTTGTATTGTTGCTGGCCGATGTTAGTGTGGGTATCCACCTAACCGCAATTGCTAATGAGCAATCAAAGTGGCAAGTTGCTTCACCACCGACTTGTGAATGCAACAACTTTGCGTTATGTGCATAACTAATTTGCAACATTACATTTGCAAAAGCAATTAGACTCGCAAGCAAGCAAAAAGCACACACAATGTACAACAAAGCAAATTGTTGCAAATGCTTGGCGCAATGCTTAATTTGGTCACTGTCATATGACGCAAAAGCGGGCAGTAAAAATGGGGAGAAGCAAGAAGCGCAGATGCTCTCTACTAAATGTAAAACTTCGGTTTTTTTTTCTTGGTTTATTGTGGTCATAAAACAACAATAATACGATGCCGAAATTGTTCAATGACTAAGACCTGAGACTGCAGCAGCAATGGTAGCCATGTAGAAGTGATGCCTCTCTAACAGGGCACATCGTCTTAGTAGCAGTCGGAAGAAGCAGCAGCAACAGCAACAGCAACAGCGCACAAGTGTTACAGAAACTAATAAAACAAGTTTTATGTCGTTTTGTTTACTGTTTTTCATATACTCGAGCCTGTTAGTCATTTTTATTGATTTTTTTTTTCATTTTTGCTTAATGCATTTACAAATGAAAGTTGCTCGACAAGTGATGCCGATACTGACTAAGTAACTAATGGTGGCAGCAAACTATCAACGCGTGGGGATTGGTCATACCAAAGCAGTGATGCCAGTCAGCATTTTTTTTTTTTTTTTTTTTTTTTTGATAACGAAAAGTTCAAATTTCTCAGCGTGAAGTTTCAAATTTTAAGCGCTACCTTGAATTAACACCCTGGTTCTTTAAGAAATATTTCTGCAATTCACTTTTCGAAATTACAAAAAAAAAACTTCAACATGCAAGGTGCGACTGCTCATGCAACTAATTTCTGAAATTTCTTAATTTGAGAGCCTTTTTGAAATATATTATATTGCCACGTCTGACAAGCTCTTAATAGTGGTTGGTAACTATACGAAGATCTTGAGGGCGATATCGGCAATGAACCAGTAGCTACACGTTAACCTCCAAGATCACGTTCCTGACAGCTCTGGATTATTATTCGCCCCAAAACAATTTACATCATTGAGTTCAGGAAACTATGTACTGATTTAAAAAAAAAAAAATCTCATTCTTTTTTTCTGCCACTTCCTAATTAGCTTTTCTGTTTCCAACTATAATTACCATTTCAACTTTTGCCCGAGATTAATTTTTCTTTACGACACTCCACTTAAACGATGAATTGAACTACATAAAGTACTTGTCTTGCATCAAAAGGGATTGTCAAGCGCTGACTTCAGTTGCATAGTAACCGGATTGAACTAAATTACAATAAATAAAAGTAGCGGAGTTAATGGTGCAGTTGTAATACAATCGGCTAGTCACACATAATAGACTTAGCAGTGAACCATAGAGGCGGCAACAACAAAAACATTACACTTGTAACGCTCTTATGAGCAACAAATGAGCGAACAAAAAAAACAACAACAACAAATAAATGTATTGCAAGCGAATGATGCAACAACTAAATCGGTTTAAATTAGGTGTATGTATATAAAGCATTATGTATATACATATACATATGGCTGAGTGCGAGTGACAGGAGTGGCGCACAAATGAGGATGCATTAAATTGCGATACAAGTTTTATGTTTATATATACATACATATATATATATATACATACATACGTATGTGGCAAGAAAACATTGAATTAAGTACAAACGCGTGTAAGCAATAAAAATTGCATAAATAAATAAATAAATATATGCGCTGCATTAGCATAAAAAACGTGTTTTCAAACGCTTTTCGAAATCAGTAGATAAAAATTGTTTGCATTAATAAACATAAACAAAAGTAAATTGCATTTAAATTGAAAAAAAAAATAAATGTGAAGGATAGATAAACAAAAACAAAAACAACAAAAAAACAGAAAAAAACGTGAACGTGATCAAAGGCGCGCAGTGCGCATGTGCAACGCCGCCACTTTGCGTGTTGCCCAATCGGCAGTAAAAGTTGGCCGCTGTGGGTGCTTTTGCAGCAGAGAAAAGTGTTGGAAAACTAGTTTGAAAGCATGTAAATAAAGTTGGAAATAAACTTAAGAGGCACTGAAAAGAAACAGTGGCCTATGCAGAGATGGTTGAAGTACTGCATCAAGCCTAAATTATGGAAAATTAAGTAAAAAGTGAATCGAAAGATGCGTAAAATTTAAAATATAAATTAACTATGTAATCGAAAAATATAATTTACTATATGCAAAAGTAAAGTAAAGTAAAATAAGTAAAGTTAATCAAGCTAAGTAAAGTTATGTTAAGTATGCTTAAGTTAAGTAAGATAAGGTTGGGCTAATTACAGTAAATTGACATGAAATAAAATAAAATGCAATGAAAAATAAAAAACAAAATAAGGTAAGATAAGATAAGTAAAATGGAAATAAAATATTAAAAATAAAATAAAACTAAAAAAACAATTAAGTAGAATAAGAACCATTAAATAAAAAGAATACAAATTTAGATAAAATTCAAACATAAATATAAAAACATGAATCTAAAAAACATTAGGAATCTTTTTTACAAATGCCGGCGGAAACGAACTTTGTAAGTATACCAAGCGTACTTTTATGTCCTACAAAGCTTTTCTCTCATTTCTGAAAATTACCTCTCATATTAAATTTTCGGTGAGTTATCTCAATATCTGCCTCAGTTATTTATTTAACTACTGCAATTGTAGTTCAGTTATATGGTGGAATATGTTTACCGAATTTGGTTGCGTTTGATAAAACGGTTACTTAAAATATATTTGTATATACAGTGATTTAAACAAATGGCCACGTGTGCATTTTTTTATGATACAATTTTTTTGGTTATGTTTCTGAAAAAAAATACCGTCCTAGCTTTAACCTAAACCATATTAATCACAGTTTCAAACTTT